CACAGGCGCGGGCTCGGCGGAGCACTGGCGAGGCCGAGGAGGGTCGGCTCCGCTGCGCAGCCGCGCACAGCCCGCGGTGCCACCCGCACTGCGGCAGCCGGGCTGCTCGCGAGTCTGGCCGAGGGGTTCCCCGTGCGTGCCTTCCCGACCCCGCAGCCTTTGCCTTTGTTGTTTTCGGTCTTGCCGGTAACCGAGAGGCGAAACGAGCCAGGCGTCTGGGAAGGGGCCGGCGTGTCCCCAGGGCCGGCTGTCCGCAGTACACCTCCAGGGGAGGGGGACTGGCGGCGGGGAAACAGAGCTTTTCCGCAAGTGAAAAACAAGAGCAAGTGGTTTACCGACTTGGAACTCGCGTTCATTTCTCCGTCTCTCCCCAAAATCGACGGGCACTGAGCTGCGCAATCAGGGACCGAGCATGGTTGTTGCCGCAGCGCGGATCCGGCAGCAGCTTGTTACCTTCTGAAGTGCCATTCTCCTGCACACACGTACACACACCTCTGGGTGAATGTCTCCTCCACATCTTGGGTGCGCTTTGCAGCGCAGGAAGGGGCAGAGAACAGAGACCCAACGGCCTCTGCTCAACATGACTCTCACAGAGAGGGTTGGAAAGGAGAAAGGACTTTAGGAGAAGGGTGGAGAGGCCTTGCAGTCACTTGCAGCCGGTTACTGGGGCCTGGGGGTGAGGAACGGCGGAGGCGGACACCTACCTGGTCGGGATGCACCTAGCTTCGGGCACATGGAAGCCAGTCCCCGCCGGTGCTCAGTTCCGATGGTGTGTGCGGCTCACCGCCGAGGGAAGGAGGGGAAATACCACTGCAGGTGGGGAAGCCACTGTGAACAAGCTGAAAAACGGATCTGCAGTGGTTAGCAAGTTCCAGAGCAGAGAGGGTTTGGCATCGATCATAGTTTCCATTACTTCTGTCAAATACAATATTATCAGAGACTACAGCAGTACTTACTGTAAGTACTAATGGAAAGTACTACATACGGAGTGGAGTCTCAGGGCCGTGCCAAGGGACAGTTAAACCAGATCCAGTTTTCCACAGATCCCCCGAAAAGGCCTCAGTCTCCACGGGGCCGACCAGTGCGCTCTACTCTCGCCACCAGCGCTGCAAGAAAGGGAGCAGCTGAGAGCAGGTGAGGGTCTCGTCCCCGTCTTTCATCTTCCGGACTTGGTGATGGGGACGGTCCTGGGTATTTGAAACCAGCCCGCAAGCACGGGATGTGCACCCCGCTGACTCCCGGTGCTTCTCACCGCACCTAAAATACAAACCAGACCGAAGGTGTGGTCCAAAGGAGGTGTGGGTGGGGAAGGTTTGGGTTGAGAGCAGCTTCTGGGCCGGGGAGTTGTGCACGGAAGCCACGGGGTTCGGCCGGAGACCCCGGCTGCGCCGCCTGTCGCAGCCCATGGCGGTGTCGACAGAGTGGGCACGACGTCCGGCTCGTCTGCACAAGGCAGCGAGAGCGCTTCTGCGGGAAGGGCAGAGTGTGTGGACGTGCAAAATAATCATCTTCGAAAACAGGGAGGGAGAGGGAAACCTCTTTTATAGGGGATGTGGGAAGGGACCTAACACAGTCCTGCTTAAGAGAAATGTTATACGAGATACTTGAATTTATTTTTTTTTAAAAAACCTAGTTAAAATATATAAATCACCCATCAGAAACAAAGAACTATGTGGAAGGAAACATTTCTGGATAGAGACACTGTGTGTGGCATAAAAGACGATTGAATACATAAGGGCTTCATTAAATTCCCAATAGATAACATTTGGCTAAATCTATCCCTAGATTAAAACTCCGCATAATAGCACCATAAACTAAAAAGTTTCTTTTTGTGTGGTCCTTCAGGATGAACTGATTGAAACATTAGCCCCTCATAGAGCAATCCCCTCCCAATTCAGATCCAGTAATTCGTCTCAGCCCTACGGGGATATGATGAGCAAGGAGACGGGTTAATGAATCCACACTTTGTCTCTGGGAGGAGAAGGAGGCGATACTATACTGCATGTCCTACCAGATTGTTTATTAGGGCCCAGACTGTTTTGGAGGAATTGTTCGTCCGGGCTCAGTCCTTGCGAGGACGACACTGTCAGCCTCTCTGTTAGTCTTGAAAGCCGCGGAGAGCATGGCGGGCTATTAGCATGCGAATGGGGCGCTGCGGCCCGGCTGTGCTGCGAGCTCATCAAAGGGCTGTGGGACCGGCGCCTTTTCTGGCGGCACCTGCTCCGAGGCAGCAGCGGGGAAACAGGGACCCTCGGGACGGGGACCGAGTCTAGGCGGCTTCCCCGCCGACCCGAGGAGAACAGGCAAAAGGGTCCTTCACCACGACCCCAGACCTCTTCCTCGACCCCCTTTCCTTACAGTAAAAAAGGAAATCTATACCGCCTACTGCAATTTGCTCCTGTCAGCTTCCCTACCAACTCCCAAGGGAAGGTCCACACGAGATGCAGGCAACCGGCGAAAAGCATGGAATGAACAAGTGGCCAAGCAGTTTACTTGCCATAAACACCTCTGAGAAGAACTGAGGAACGGGCGGTGGGCACACTCGGACCCCACTGTCCACCGGCCTGGGCCGGGCTGGGCTCTGCGTGGGGGAGGTCGCCGGGCTCTCCAGGGTTTACTGCGGAGAAGCCAAGAGAAACAAACACAGGGTGGGTCGCCGGAATCTACCCTTCTCATGTAACTGCTCGTGAAAATCGCTAGGACTCGAGCGGACAGAACCCAGACTGAGGGCCAGCAGCATCCCTCCTCGGGGAGCCTCGCACCACACGGCCACAGCTGCCTTCTCCCCCGCAAAACCTTTCCCTGCTTGATCTGGCTCTCCGAGGGGGGCCTTTGCTTAGCTCGGTACTCCACGCTGCACCGGCCCGTCGGCTCGGCGCATCCCCTGGCCAGTCCCGAGGAAAGTGAATTTATTGGTCTCTCGTGAAAAAGACTCGCTCTCCCCAGAGGATACGTACACAGTGCCTCTGGGGTATTTTCCCTTTTGTTTTAGAAATTAGAACGGACTTTACTTCTTTTTCTGTTAAGGAGCCCGGGACACTCAAAGAGGCCTTCCAGCTCCAGACTGCAAATGGAGCCCAGCAGAGATCTTATGTCCAGTCCTCCTGCTTTTTGAAACCCACTATTTTAACACAGCATTGCTACAAAAAAACAAAAAACAAAAAAACCCCAAAAAAACAAAAAAACAAAAAACCAAAAAACCAAAAAAACCAAAATGGAGAAGGACCATTTTCTATCTACCAGAATATTTAAAATCAAGGCGACGAAGTACTTCCATACATAAAACCCCTTCTCAGCCCAAAGAGCACTAAAAGGCATCCCTCCCTTTTTATTTTTTTATTATGAAAATTCACATAATTGATCCCCGAGTCTCCTAAATTGTTATAAATACAGTCGTAGTTGAAAAGCGCCTCCCTGGTTTGAAAAACGCATATTCCTAGCCCACAACAAGCATTCACACGCTTATTCTTAAAACATGCGATTCTCTTTTCCATATATAAGCTCTGAATATTTGAGGCCGGATTTTTAGTTAAATTTTTTTTTTGTCTATAAAATAGATATCTATCGACCTTATGTTGTTAAAAATGAGTGTTTGGAATCAGAAAAGCTGCTTTCATGGATTGTTTTGTGCATTTAAATATCCTTACTTCGACAGCTTATAAACTTAATCAACTCGTCACACGAGGATTTTACAAAGCGCATTTTATATTTTATGTATTCAAAAGTAGAAACACATGCCGCTATTATCGTCACAGAAACATAAGTGTCTAGAACAAATCTCTCTTAAGTTCAATGCATGCCCTTTATTAGTAGTATTTTCCTTTGGGCCTCTTGGAAACCAAACTATGATGCAGTTGTGATTTAAAACACACCCAAAAGTATAAAAATAGTTTTAAACCGGCTTTTTAATCAATCCCCTGATTGGTGCCTTAAAGAAATGGGCTTTACTCCCTCCAGAGAGACCTATTTCTATTTATCCCCTCTTTCGTTCCTGCTGTTTTTTGTAGACCGTTTTTTTGTTTTGTTGGGGTTTTTTGTTGGCGTTGTGGTTTTGGGGTTTTTTTTTGGTTTCTTTTTTTGATTGTTTGATTTGTTTGGGGGTTTGGGGTTTTTTTGTCTTTCTTTATCTTCTAGGGTTAACAATGCATTGACTGCAAAGACTGTATTTTTATTTTCTTCTTTGCGGTCAAATCTGCACATATGAAATTTCAAGCTGACATATTCCTTGACTATTGTGCTATTAATCCCAAAGAAAAAAATATCAGTGTCCCAAAGAAAGAAGAAGTGTTAAGGAAGGAAGGATCCAAAGCCAATTGTTTGGCTGGGCTCCTTTGGTCTTTGGGTTTGGTTTTGATTCCTTTTTTTTTTTTTTTTTTTTTTTTTTGAAAATTAAAAATTTTATTTCTGAAAATGTGTAAAAATTTTACATTAAAATGGTACAATAATACTTGCCAGTAATTTTAACAATATTCCTTGTAAAGAATACGCATAAAGTACAAAATAAAAAACTCCATAAGTCTATTATAATACAAAACACAGGTTAAAATAAGAAATGATAATCTTGACTTTCTTCTGTGTAAACACGTTAATCTTTTCTTTTATAAAAGTACATGAGACAAGTGTACTAAATGAAAAAGTATTGCTCTGCTGTCCTCCCTCAAGCCTTTCTTTCTCCTGTACATTAGTGTTTTCAAGCTCCTAGACCTGAGAATCTCTGAACTTTAACAGTTTAGAGACATTATTTATCACCGTGTTTGTTTCTTTTTAAGGAGTAGCGAGTAACTTTCCGATGTAGTGACCGCCTGCCCGTGCAGCATCTAGATCTACACCTGGCTTTGCACTAGTGAAGGTCACGGGAGGTCCGGCGGACGGCCCCCGAGCCCCGTCACAATTATCCCCACGCAAAGACAGGCAGCCCCTGCGGGCAGCGTCCGCCGGGCGTCCGAGCGGCGGAGAAAGGAGATACCCCAGATCCTACCTTCGGAAAGACTCCCAAACACTTAACAGTTAGAGATCCGTGCCGCGAAGCCGGGGGTGGCGGGCAGGGCTGCGGCGGGGGGCAGGCCGCTCCCGGCGCTCCCCAGCGAGCGGGCCAGCCCCGGCGCCGCGGTCGATTGCGAGGCGCAGCTGCTGCCCGCGCCGGGGCCGGGGCTTCCCCCGATGATGCTCTCGATGGAGAAGGGCGAGCGGGCCAGCGCCGCGCCGCTGCCGGGCTTGGCGGAGTGCAGCGAGGCCGCCAGCGCCGGGCCCAGCGGGTGCGCGTAGCCGAAGGGCGTCCGTGCCAGCTCCGCCGCCGGCAGCAAGGGGCCCGGCGGCGCGGCGGCGGCGGGGGGCAGCGCCGCACCGGGGGCGCTGCCAGGGGCGGCGGGGGGCTGGCGGGGCGGTGGAGAGGGGTGGTGGAAGGCGAAGAGGGCGGAGTGGGGGTGGTAAGGCTGGAGCTGGAGACCGTAGCCGCAGCCGTAGGGTCCGTAGGCGCAGGGCGGCTGCTGCGGGGGCTGCGGCGGAGGCTGCGGGAGGAAGGCGGCTGGGTCCACGGCGCGCAGCAGAAGCTCGGGCGCCGGGAGCTGCTGCCGCTTGAAGCGCTTTCGGCGGCGCAGGAAGCTCCCGTTGTCGAACATGTCGGCGGATTCGGGGTCCAGCGTCCAGTAGTTGCCCTTGCCAGGATTGCCGGGCTCCCGGGGGATCTTGACGAAGCAGTCGTTGAGGGAGAGGTTGTGGCGGATACTGTTCTGCCACGCGGGGAACTTCTCCCGGTAGTAGGGGAAGCGCCCGCTGATGAACTCGCAGATCTCACTCAGCGTCAGCCTCTTCTTGGGGCTCTGCAGGATGGCCATGGTGATGAGAGCGATATAGGAGTAGGGCGGCTTCACCAGGCTGTTCTTCCCGCCGCCGCTGCCCGCCCCGCCGCCGCCGCCGCCGCCGCCCGCCCCACCGCCGCCCGCCGTCGCCTTCTGCGGGCCACCCCGCGAGGGGGGCCGAGAGCCACCGGCCGCCGCCGCCGCCGCCGCCCGCCCCACCGCCGCCCGCCGTCGCCTTCTGCGGGCCACCCCGCGAGGGGGGCCGAGAGCCACCGGCAGCGTCCCCGCCGCCCGCCCCGCCGCCGCCGCCACCTACGCCTCCACCGCGCACGGGCGACCGCGGCAGCAGGGCGGCGGCGTGGAGGTCGCCCACATCCTCCTCGTCCTCTTCCTCGTCGTCGTCCTCGTCCTCCTCCTCGTCCTCGGCGTAGGAACGGCGGCGGCGGAGGGTCTGTGGCTCCTCGTCGTCCTCCTCGTCGTCCTCCTCGCCCACCACATCAATGTCGGTCTCCTCAGCCAGCGTCGACGCCTCGGACATCTCCGAGCTAAGGGTCATGGCGTGGCGGCGGGGCAGCGCATCGGTGGCGGCCGGCGCGGCGCGGCAGGCGAGCGGACGCTCTCCCCGCCGCCGCCAGGCCTCCGCGCCGCTCCGCTGAGAGCCGCCCCGCCGCCGCCACGGGCAGGCGGGCCGCTCCGAGCCGCGCCGGCCCCCAGCGCCGCTGCCGCTCCTCTGGAGCGCTCCCGCCGCCCTCTCGGAAGCGGCGGCTGGTCAGGGTTTTGTTTCGGGGTATTTTTTGCTGCCGTTTGGATTTCTCTCTTTCTCTTTTTTCCCCTCCCTTCCCCTCTTTTGGAGATCTTTTTAGGTTTTTTTCGGTTGGGATCGGTTATTGTGGGAGCAGGGAGGTTGTGCCGTCTCTCCTGGAAGTCGGTTTCCCCTTCTTTCTCCTCACCTCAGCCCCCAGACATTAATGGATGCGGGGCAGGAGGGAGCGCGCCTAGTCCTGGGAGGAGGAGAGGGGAGGAGGCTGGAGAGGAGGGAGGGCGTAGGGGATGGCTTGCTGGGCCTTAGGAAACACGGTGAAAAGGCTGGGGCTTAGTCCCAGGGAGGGCGGCCTTCCTCCCCGCCTTATAGCGAGGGGGCCATCACATGGCTCCGAGCGTCAGACCCTGGCGGGGGGAGCGGCGCCGTGTCTCCCCCTCCAAGAAGGGGGCCTCGCCACTGTCCCGGCTCCCCCGGCCTCACCCCATCCATCTAGGGGGCTGCGGGGAGACCGGTGCCATATTTAGTGGAAAAGGGTGGAAATAAAGAAAACACTTGAACCCCCTGGAGAAAAAAAAAAAAAAAAGTGCAAGTCTGCCACAAAGTGTGGGAGCATCTTCCTAAAAACCGTCTGGAGGGTCTAGAAGCTTCTCATCATCCGGGCCTGCCCTCAGAGACGGGGTGCTGTTTCCCGTGGGAAGGAAGAGGGGAAAAAAACGTCAAACCGGAGAGGGAGATGGTGAGTTAGTAAACTTCAAACTTGTGTTCGCGGAATGGTTTAGAGACAGCCCTCCCTACCTCTCCGCCGTCACCCTCCAGAGTTTGATTTACTTTAGAATGAAATAAAATACCTCTCGATGTTGACCTCACAAGTTCTAAAAGAACAGCCTCCAAAACACATCACTATTCTCAGTTTAATTGTAAGGCTATGGTTACTAAAGAGAGAGAAGCAGCTCCCTCCATTATGAGAAACACTAACAGAGAATTAGCGTTACCTCCTTTGTATGCAAAGGAAATAAATTCACTGGCCTTTAGAATGGGACTTTCGCTTTAAGTAGGAGCAACACCCCTGAGAAAGCGACAGAGGACTGCTTGCTAATTTAGGGGCACTCTTCCCCTTTTCAGGTGATCTATGAGACGACGGAGGACCGGGGCCCCCTTTATGTAAGGGCTGGGCAAGGGGAAAAAAGAAACAAAAACTCCACCAAAGAACCCAAACAAAATAAAACCCCCACAAATTTGGACAGAATGCAATTACCATGGTCTTAAAAAGAAGGGCTTTGAAAAATCCCATCGTTCCCAGTTGTGGCAGGATAGACCGCAATCAGGATCCGACTGGGACAGGAGTAGGGGAGCATTTCGTTCTTAGGCAGAAATCGTCGTAAGAAGGGAAGACTGATGCATAAAATCTTATTGATAAAACCTCGCTTTGCAAACAACGTATACACCCAATATCTTGAAATATGTTTTCGATATACTGTTCTAACCTAAAGCTACAAGCCACCCTGTTTCCATGGATTTACAACATAATCCTTTCTACTATTTCCAAATAATCCTATTTACATTTTGTTCACTACTAAGGCGCCTGCAAGACAATAACACCAAAAGTTACAAAACAAGGAAGAAAAAAGGAAAGGAAAGAAAAGAAAAAACCCTCTAGACCCAGCAACTGACTACTATTTTTTTTTCTGTAGAAAAACAGATATCACTCGAGATTTACAGTCCCCACAGTTCATAAAATCTCTCTTAGAATTAGTTTTGAGGTCCTAGGGAAGCTACTAAAAGAAAGGTGGACAGGATTTTCCGTCTTCAAGAGGTTTCTCCTCTTTACAAAGAGCATTTTAGCTTTCTGCTTCCTTTCCCACACCTTTTATTCATTTTATTCTCCTAGTTTGAACGTTTAAAACCATATTTTAAAAATCATGCTCTTAAGTATGAAGAACGGTGAAGTTTAAAAATGCACGGGGAAGAACCTCTGTAGCGACAAACCAAAAGAGCCGGGATCTGCCCTCGATCCTCTGCTAGCAGAACGGACGGGTTTTTTCACTGAGCGTGTGACACCGGCTCTTCGATAGCACCGAGTTCCCGGGAGCCTCGGCTGGGGTGCGGGTCTTTCTGGATGTGGCCGGTCGGGGTGACCTCGGGAGGTGATGGTGACCCCTCTGGAAGGCTTGGCCAACACTGCAAGCTCGTCTGTCGCTGCAGGGTGTGTATGTTGTGTGTGTGAGCTGCTGAGGGGATTCCTTTTTGGGGGGTCAGTTGAGTCAGCCTCCAGTGCGGGCAATCAATACCTGATGTTACTTCAGTCCCTGGAGACCGTGACTTGCCTTTGACTATCTTCGGATGGTTCCCGTCCTAATCCCGGCAGGTGTCGTTTCAAAAAGGCAAGAAAGAAAAGAAGGGAAGCAGCGGCGGCTCAGCCGTGAGTGGCACTTCCCTCGGTAAAGCCCGGCCAGCCGCGGGACCGCGGGCTTTGCCCTGTCCCCCACCTCGCGGCCGGTCCCGCTCCGCGCCGCTCCGCTCCGGGCGCTGCTCTGCGCGGACAGGGGATGCCATCTACCGGCAAGGAGCGCCGGCTGTGGGACGCCGTGTGCGGGGTAGGGGGCCCGGCGTGGCCTCCCCGCCCAAATCAGCTCCCGAGAAAGGCAGGGTCGGGCAGGAATCCCCCGCTCATCGACTGAGCGGGACCCCGAGACCCTGAAGAAAAGGAGAGTTTTGGAGGGGACCTAAGAACAGGCCCTCCGCGAAATGGTTGGAACTTCCTCGACCACCTTACCATCTCCATCCCGGGGGTCTCGGTCTCTGCCCACATATCCAACCAAACGACCACCCTTGACCCAGGATGTCGGGGGCTGTGTTCTAGGGTTTCTGGCTGATTGTAAATGACCTGATACATCACGCACCTAAAACCACAGCTGCACAGAAGCAAGATGAGCAACACAGTTACCCAGATAAGGTTTATACTTTTTATTGTTTGGGCAAATTAAAATTAATTAAAAATTCAAAATTAATATAATTTGTAACTTTTTGTTATGTATTGTACACACAATTCCTGCATGCATATACAGAACATCCTCATATTATCAGGGCAGCACAGACCTTTATTAAAAATCAAAGATTACCCTGGACACTATTTAGGGCATTTTCAAGCAGCCACACTGGCACTCTGGTTGAGGTGCTCTGAGTTTTCTGGAGCTGCAGAACTGGACTTTTTCTTAATGTATAGAATCATTTCTTGAATAATTAACGTTTTCTGTGAATGTCATGCCTTGGGTCAAAGATTGGACTGAATTCTGAGCTGCTTGTGTCATGGAATGAATAAATGCTCCAGCAATGACCTTGCAAAAGGATGGTGGTGTCCATGACAAAGACAATAACAGTGACAGCTGTGGTCTTCTTTGCCCAGTATAAAAGTGACCACCATGTTATCTCCACTTTTTGGATATTTATTTTCCTCTACTCTTGCCATGCAGTTTTGGGGAAGGCAACAATTCCTTTAAGCCTTCTGTGGAGGCTGGGATTACAAAGTCTGTGTAATCACAATGCATTGCAGAGGCTTGGCAGCAGTCACCTGAAAAACTGAAGAAAAATCTGGGGTTCCAGCCATGTCCACTGCTGAAAAATGGTTTACTATCCTCAGAGATGATCTCCCCTTTACCCTTGTCAAACATTTCTTTCTTCTTGAACAAGTTGGTTTGGTTTATTTGCTCGGTTGGGTTGGATTTTATTGGGGTTTTGTGTTATTTGTTTGTTGGTTGGCTTGGGTTTCTTTTTCCCTCCTTGTTCTAAAATTCTTGCAGGATATGCACATTTGCTCTGACAAGTGAAAGTCACTTCCTGTAAGTTCCTTTGGGCTTCTAATTTCTGTAAAAATGTGATTGAGTGTTCTCATGATGTTCTGATCTTAAGACACATTTTTATCAGATTAGACCAAGACCCATCTAGCAGTGTAAACTGATTTTAACATCAGCTGTTTAGGGAAGAATATAGGAACAAAACAAGCTTGTAAAATTGATTCCTAGCTGCCAGAAACCTAAGTTTCAAGTTGTTTATTTGTTTTAAAGCAGAGATAATATCTGAATTTAATAGCCTGTGAGAGAATTTATTACATTAATTTGTCCAGTCATTTTTTGAACTCATGTACATTTACACCACTAAACATATTCTGTGGTGAAATGCTTCTAAGCTCTAACCATGAGTGGTAAGAAGTGCCTCTTTTCATTAGCTTTTTGCAAGTCATCTTCCCATTTAAATGTGATATGGTCTCATTTTTGTACTAGAAGAGACAAGGGACAAGTGTCATTAGACCCTTTTTTCCTCCTGTTCATGACTCTGCAGATTCTATCACAAATATTTTTATTGGCCACCTTTTTTAAATGTTGAGGAGTTCTCCTTCAGAATCAGTGGACTAGCACAGAAGTAATTATGCATTTCTAACAATCTTTGTCATTCTCTCCACTTTCTCCCTCATTCATCTCATCCCTATTATTTTCATAATAGTCCTTCAAAACAGCATGAGATTCTTAAGTTTACTTTACCAGTTTTAATTTCAACTTATCATTTCTACTCTTTTAAGCCAGTAACTATTTCCAGTGCTGCTGGAGGGATATCAGACTTACAAAATGAAACACTGGCTGCCAGAGTGGATAGAGCAGAGTACTTCTCACACAAAAAAATCATGCCTGTTTAGGTTACCCTTAATTTTACAACTTCACCAACTACTGAAAACCTTTCTAATATTTTTCCACATAAGCCCTACTTTTTTTATTTCTAGACAAGCTTTAGCAAACTAGGAG